GATTAAGAAATTAAACAGCAGGGCGCGAAGCGAAAACACGAGAATTAACAAGTATAAATGGCGGTTGCGCAGAGCTAAAAATACGCCCCGGCCCCGCTAATTAGCATTTTTACGCTCTGCGTCCCCGCCATTTTAACTTATCAATACTCGAATTTTCGCTTGGCGGAGTCGCTGGGCCACCACACATCAGCCACCATAAGTACCAAACATGAAGTCATCTATTCTACTGATGTAACTTTTAGTGAGCGATTGGCTGGGCAAAGACATCGCCATTTTAATTCTGATATAATGTGACTTTCAGGACGAAGACTTCACCGACATGCTTAGTATTGGCGCCAGAATAGAGATCAAATACGCTCATTTCTTCGACGCCGCTTTAATCAACGATGACATAATCAAAGCCTCAAAACAACTTCTAGCTGTTATCAATGAACTTCAATCAAAACCTCAATGGGTCCCACTTAGCTGGGTCAGATGACGTAGGACCGTTACCATAGCTACTAGTACGTCATCTAGGATAACAAAATGTCGGCCAGAGATAATTTCTCCAGTTTAAAACAGAATAGAAAACGATAGTCCTGTTAAAATCTGATGTTGCTGAATTAATTGAAAAAAAATTGGTAAATTTGTAAAGATGTCCGTTTAAACTTGTAATTGGTCTGCAACGAATTGGTTGATGTTACTCATTGTCAGGTACATTGTTTAAAATACGGTACTGTAAATGCTATTTGTAAACATGTATGACAAACATTGTGGTAAAAAAGGTGCGGACTTTATGCACAACAAAATTCAATACAGTTTTGGAGCAGTACCAGAAGTTTTACAAAAATCGGGACCGCAAGTTGAAAAATATCACTTTTCTCAATGATTCTTACAATTTTCATTCATAATCGTGTATTAATCGATGTGAGATGAATTAGCCGTGCATTTTGCCGGGCGAAAAGGCGAAATATTAGCATTTAATCATTTAAGCGCCTTGTCCGGTTTATACCGGAATACGGTATTTAGTGTGGTGCTCCAACATTCACTCAAAAATCATAGGGCATTGGTAAAAATCTTAATTATTGACTTATTTGCCACTTCTTAGGCATGCACATTTACACTAAGAACAAGGTTGATTGTTTGTACATTGTATTTGTATATTATATACCTTACACGTTTTTCATATTGTTTATTGAATAAACGAATTATTTCAATTTTAAGTTTTGAGGTATTAAATTTGTGTGGACTGGTGTACGTTAGTCCGAGCGCACGTGCGTGTGTGATAGTGTGTGTGTGGTATATATTATACATATGTATCACTTCTTGTCTAAATATCTGGTAAAAAGTGATCCCTCGGAAATCAGCAACATTACATAAAAATTGCAGACACTGTGTCATTGAGTTTGTACATGAGGAATTATGAACAAGAGGGCCATCATGGCCCTGAAATCGCTCACCTGAATATAAAGCTTTCCATGACAAGAAACATGTAATATTGGACGGACGAAAAGCGATCACAAAAGCTCACCATGTCACTTTGTGACAGGTGGGCTAAAAAGTGCAACATCCCTCACGTCACCAAGCACCGACTTGAGCGGTGCTCAATCTTTAACACTTAATATTTTAGAATCAATGATCCCGAAGGACCAGAAAAATTTAACAAAACTTAATAAGTCGTATATTATAAACAATCCTACTATTTACAAGAATAAAAACAAAACAAACAGCAAAATTAACAACAACAAAACATGACTAAAAATATTGTAACATAAATAGGTCAGTGACCAACGGTTCATCTTTCAGCTTACAAGGGGCTCAAAACTGTCGATATAACGTCAAAGTTTCATAGACACATCGTATGTTATGAAAGTATAAATCTTGTAAATTTTCTACAAATGTTTATCTTCCTTATGATAAATTTGAATAATTAGAGATTATGTTTATTCGGGGACGTTAACAATAAATGCAAGCCACTGTACAAGCAAAAAAGCACCGGTTTATGCAAATACAGTTGAATTTTCCAAACTTGATTTTTGTATTTTCTGATCGCAGATCAGGAAATACAATGCTGACATTCAATCTCTAGCATATAACTTCACGACAAACCTAACAACAAGAAGTTCTCAGAACAGCCTCAAACTAGCGAAATATTTTTGTTTTGTTTACAAGTATCCAACAAATTACAACGCATTCAAAGTTTAAAAGTAGCGTTGGCTTATAAAATTGTCAATAAATGAACAATTACAAATTCCGCGGATGAATATCATTTTAATCAATGAAAATGCTATTTTAGTGATGTCGATTACCGTGTTGTACACAAATAAATCTGACTGTCGAGTAGTGGAATATATACATGTCGGACATTTTCGCTAAAATATTTACATTAGTGTTAAACAACCGGTTTATCGTGAACAAAATACCTCGAAATTAATAAGGATTACAAATGTTTGATTTTATTCAGGCTTCTTTTGTGTAACTTATAGTAAAAAATCTAAACGCAGTCGCTGCATCTCGGTGCCATGTGTTGTGGTGTTTAAAAATATCTATTTATAAGTAGTGTTTCTAAAAATAGAAGCAGGCCTCTTTCCCACTTGGCACCATTGTTGTGGTGTTGAAAATTAAAAGCTTTCTATTTCTATAAATAGAATTAAGTTACTTAATACCTAATATTGTTGATGTTATTGTTTGCTCAGGAGTACTCTTTAATAGGATAAATCTAATCGTCTGGGTGACACCACCCTTTGAATGCAAAGGGAAATAAAAAACAAATGTTGAATAAATTTAAATCAACCAAATTTTTAATAAATTAAGTTTTTATTTACACTTAACTAAAAGTTACTTAAAGCTTAATAAGTTTACAATAATCACTTTAATATATGCTGTTCCTATTTAACCAAAAATATGAAAATCGGAATTAACTTGGTCTAGTTGAATAAAAGATTTCACCAAGTTGATAGTTGTCAACAATGTAATAACTGAAAATATGAGACATGATTCTAATGATTCTGTGCTATTAAATTGATAAATCTGAATAGTAGAAAGCCCTGTTTTAATCTATGTCAACAAAAATTAAGATCTGATAATTCGAAATAGCTGTATCTATAACAAAGAAAAGATAATAATCAATCTTAATTAATTCTGTAAAAAATAATTACTAAAATTACTTACAAATTAATAAAAAATGTTTCAGTGAATTTAGATAATCTCTAAGGTTCATTTAAATGCCAAAGTGACTAAAATAAATTCAATAATTAATTAATTGATTAACCTTAGAGAGCTTTTAGAGATGTTACTTTTCCAAAAATTAGCAGCAGAATGTCGGAAATCTCCGAGATGCCTACTTAAATGAACTTCTGCATCCTAGAGGGAGCTAGTATATACCTACAGGTGGCATGAAACTAGATAAAAAACTACATTAAAGTTGTATGTAACAACTTATTTGATTGGTCAAATTACAGCCAACCAGAATTTACTTAACAAATGCTCAATGCTTTACAGTTCTTTACATATTTATTCTAAAAACAGATTATGATTCATGGAAAAGCTTAACATGAAAGAACATTCACATTTTCTACAAGAGATGATAATAATGACTAAATGTTACAAAGTAATGGAAAGAATCAAAATACAACTCAGAAACTAAATATATTTCTTAACATAATTATGTAAATTCTATATCATTAACTTGATTCACTAAGTTTAAAGGCCTATATAAGTGAAACACTATATATTGTATGTAAGGAGTCTTAGGCCATGCTAATAAGTTACTGTTAAAGAGTGTATCAATAAGTTCTACACACTATAATCAACATTAAACTAATGAATGAGAAGAATGAAATGTCTATAAAACAATGCATGTTCAATATGATTAAACTTTAAAAAAAACTTAAATCTAAGTTACAGTTTAAACCCTTAATATATATTTCTTTAAAAAATATGTATGAAAAATATATATGATTAACTTCTTGAGTAATATTATGTAACATTATGTAGTGATTATATAACCTGTTGTAGTTGGACACATGTTAGATGAATTATATTATATAGAATTAAACCTATACAGGAAAATACATACAGATTTACAGTACGATTTCGATTGCAAATACCAAAAAATACCACAGAGCTTGCAGCACTTTGATTTAAAAAAGCATCACCAAATCGTTAAGCGAAGAGCATGATACTTTCTATGTGACGTTTTTTAAATTGTCCACCAATCGACCACACCTATCACGATAAATCTTGTTTGTTTTTTAAGCGAGTAATTTCCTCCCGTATAAAGATGACACGTCGCATTTAGCCCAATAGTTAAGAAACAGTTTTACATTTTGTACAACTTTGGTTTGGTGTATTACTGTGGTTGTTCATCAATCTCATACATGTTTAATAGGACACCAGTCTGATTTAAAGGCCAACTAGTTGTTAGAAATGCCATTTTTTCTTATTTTTGTATAGTATTTTTGGTTATCATATTACTGTTTTCAAAAACAAAATATCATAGTTCAACTCGCTGAACCATTTACATGTATTGCCAGGTCGATGTCTGCTCAAGGGTTTAAAAAATAACTTTCTTTAGCTCTCACAACTCGCTTTTCACCTTCAAACAATGTCGTTGTAATAATTTGTTTAAGAACAGAAATTACTTAAATCCTGTTTTGACAAAAGTAGCTATGTACATCTTTTGTTCATGTGCAATTTATTTTTGGAAATATTGGCATTGCAACGTTTGCAATAACTGCCATCCAAATTTCCGTCAATTAGTGACGGTTTTCCAAGAATGTTCTTCAATGAAGAATGACTGGAAAATGTCTTGTATGCATGTGATTTAAGAAGCAGGGTTTCAACATTACTTATATTATACATTTCACAAGCAGGGTATAATAGACTGTGAGGGTCGTGGTGATTCCTGTAATTTTTCTCAGGTGCTAGATGATTTCGCCAATCCGATGACATTTGTGTTCCACAACAAACCCGAAGAATATCCCAGTATCGCAAATATTCCACAACATGTGTCATATTTTCATTTGATAAACCAAAGAATTTTTGATATTCATATGCAATAAAATGACCCCTTTTTGAGACAAGATTAACATCTGCAATATATGGAATAGCTATACGCCTTTGTTTCAGTTTTCTAGCTTGGTCTTGTTCTGGCTTTGTCAATGGACCTTTGGATGTCATAAAAATCCAAGAACCAGTTGGTATGAAAGACAACCCTTTATCGGGTATGCTGTGTACTTTTATAACTCTATACTTATTGTTTGTTTCAAACCTATTATAATAACAACCCACAGAATTCTTCTCATCCTCATGAAGAAAAGCCATCATTAAACACAATAAATAAAATTGTAAAGTTGTCGCTGTACGAGGTTTGCCAAACTGTACAATGAGATTTGGAACACGTTTGAAACAAAACTGAAAAATAAAAGAAATATGTTCTAAAAATCAAACAATACCTTATTATAAAGGCCATTTGGGATCATAATATTTAATATATGGATCCAAAAAGATTCCTTTTTTCTTTTCTTTAAGAAGACATATGGAAATTTCTATATTACTTCGCCCGTCTATCTTTTTATATGTAAAATACAGTTACATGTTTAAGGATTTTTTGTACAAAATATCAACGTTATACTTTGTAATTTGTGTTGGACAGAAAGCTGATACAAAAGTCGGTAAGGTAAGCTTTCATTCATAACTTTTTTATATTCAGGTTTTAATAGGATCAAATGTAGAGCCTGCTCATTCAAGGGAATAATCTAAACAAATTTGAGCTATACTTTTATTTGGGCAAAAAATCAGTATTTTTCAAAGTATAACAGCGTGTTCATACAACTATTTCATTTTACCACAAAATTTTGATTTTCCCCCCAAACAGCAATTCAATGTGTGGTTAACACATATGAGTGAGATGGCTCTACACTTTATCACATAAAAATAATGGAATAAAAAAGTTACTGTGGAAAAATAAGCCCTCATTAAATATGACGCACTTTTGGCTTTAATACCCAACGCAGATCACAAAAGTCACGTGATATAGTCGCCGTGATCTATTTTGTATAAATAGTTCTAAACATTTTAGAATAGGGAAATAGATAGTCATCTGCCACACATGATGCTTATTTGGTCGATGGTTATCACAATGTGAACGATTTTACAAACTTTCACTCCGACATGCGTCGTGCAGACCATACTGACCATTATGTTTTGTGTGCAGTTCAAAGAATTATCATTGTGGTCTAATTTATGTAGAAATATACTGCACATATTCCTAGTCGTGTGATGTTACTTTGTACACGATATCTTGTACGTTTTGTGGCCATATCTCATATGATTTCTAAGAGACCTAAAGACCAGTAAGACCAACGTCAAGGATCAAGTTTTATAGATAAATTTTATATCGCCCGAGGATCGAGGCTACACATCCGATGCTCTCCGGAGCGGGAAGAGAAGTGTAATGTTTTAAATCTTTAAACTGTCATTGATAAAATATCGCCCGAGGATCGAGGCTACATATCCGATGCTTTCCGGAGGGGGAAGAGAAGTGTAATGTTTTAAATCTTTAAACTGTCATGGATAAATTTTATATCGCCCGAGGATCGAGGCTACATATTTGATGCTCTCCGGAGCGGGAAGAGAAGTGTAATGTTTTAAATATAAGATTTTAATAAGGTACCAAAACTAAACTCACATGAAACTTTGAGAATAGGATTTATTTTAATAATTTAATAATTTTGTTTATGAATTGGAGTATGGGTACGTAAAAGTTAGATATAAAATCTGTACTCGATATTCACATTAAATGTAAATATTTTAACACTTGTATATATTATGAACTATATTCAGAAAAAATTCATACCTCGCACGTTCCGTTTTTCTCTTCTTCAGTTGTATTGCCTGTTTTTGCCCCTTTTTTAATTTCCAATATTTCAACACTTTCATTTTTCATTTTTGAATTATAATTGAGAAATGTCTCATGACGAACACCAAGTTTTGTAACCAAATACGTTATAAATATTAAAACGAATGTTATAGTGAAGAGGAAGACGTATGCTTTTGAAATTTCCATTAATTGCACTTTAACGTTAGCGTGTCAAAGCTCTTTTCGATTTTACATTGATTTTATAAATTCATTATACACAGTTAACTTGTTTCTATAACATTTGCTCCTCTTTACATATTATTTGCTCCTCATATCTCACTAAAAGTAAATAAACTAAACTGAATAATGATGTGTCGGTTAAACAAGTTGTTTCATTGACCAGATGTAAACATTATTCCTAGCTTTTTTATTTTATTTATTTATTATTTTTATTTTTTGTTTGTTTACGTCGCATCAACACAGTAGAAACCACGCGACCATGCACGGACGTTCCTCATTGATTTGTGACTAATTCGTGACCATGCTCAATCAACGACGTACGTCATCTGAAAATTAAACAATATTTTAGAGGATAATGCTGTTGATGTACTGAATTTGGCGGATATAACGTTATTAAAACTTGGCTACATAATGTCATTTTTAGGTTTTGAATCGTCAACATTTACCAAAAAAAAAAAATACTTTGAAGACGCTATTAGTCAGTCATACGGATATTTACTGGTTGACTTAAAGCCAACAACACCAGAAGGGTTGCACTTGCGCACGGATATATTTCGTATAAAAGAGGCCAACGACCATGATAATAATCATTTCATGGAAAACAATCAGGTCTAGGTATTATACCTTCACCTCTTGGAAGTCCTGTGAAACGGGAAGATAATAACAACTACTCGACGCAAAATCGACAGAAAAGCGTTTATCAATCAGGAGGAGCAATGTCCTCTTGCGACGACTGCGGTATCGTTCCGAAAATATACACGATCTTCAAAATTTACGTGAAACGTTGGTGTTCTGAACGTCAATCACAAAAGCATTTATTCCCTGATGAAGATGTGTATCCCAATAAAATGTTGAAATATGAATAAAGCGACGACTCATTTCAGTTCTTGGATCAAGAAAACGAGGTTTTCAATGAGTTTGCCAAATTTGCCAAGGATAACAATGAAAATGAATGGCAAAAGAAAGTGCAGAAATACGAAGAACAATGCCTTTCTTCTTCTAAAGCTTAAACAAAGGCTAATTTCGTGCTAGGAGAATACAATATACGCCCGTTTATGCAAAACTACGCCATGTTATTTTCCTATATATTTAAAGTGAGAAAGGGTTACATTCACAGTAAAATTATAAAATCTGTAGAAAAATATCTGAAACAAGAATTGGACCTTAAACGAGCCATATGTTGTCATTTTCCAAATATAGACATAATGTCGAATCTTTTCTGCATGAATACGTTACTGAGAAAAAACAAGATAATGATGATGACTGTGAAATCAGCGAAAACGACGACAGGAGCGAGGACGGCGACGACGATGATGATGAAATTAATTGAAAGTATCCGTCACAGAAAGTACAGTATAACATTCGCTCGATACTTTGTTTAGAGCATTGAACATTTGACATCAATTATTACAGACGAAACTATGGACCAATTTCGTAAGAAGATTGAAACAAAATCAGCTATGAACATTTGTATACCCTCCCGAAGAACGCAGTTAGGGCTAGGTATTATTCCACTAGCTTCCGACAGTACGGTGAAAAGACTCAAACCTATGGAACAACCAAAGAATGGACAATTTTAAATACGCCGGGTTCTACCAACTAATTACAACCAATAAACCCTGATCAATTAAGATCAATACAATAACATTCAACCAACTTCGACAAATCAACAAAACACCCTTCAAAACAACAAATTATCTTCTCAACAAAAAATAAACGCTACACACTATCAGTGTGTCTCTCCTAAACTGATGTAAAATCTATCCAAAAACTCGCATATTTACATGTAGAAATTTAAATTGTAGATACACTGTTCATTGAAATATGAAACACTTCGGTGTATCGCTGTAGGAAGCCTTTAACTCGTTTATTAAAAAAAACATATCTCCAGTAAAACTGTACGATTATTCTGACATAATCTATATAAATTCTAAATCGCGAATTTGAGCGCTATCTTTTGAGTCTAGTTTTGAACTAAATAAATTTCACGCACGCACACACACACGCGCGCGCGCACACACGCACGCACACACACGCACGCACACACACGCGCACACGCACACACACACACACACACACATATTTAGACTAAATGCTTACCTTCTGGGATTTATTAGCATGAAAATTTTAGGCTTTGTTGATTCAAAAGTTGAAGTGTTTGCAGACTGTTGACCTTGTAATATAGTTGTATTGAAACTACAGGTAAAACTACTGTTCGTTTGCTAAGCTGGTATAGTAATGGCGTTGGTATTCACAAGTTCGGAATTATTTGAAATTGAGTTGAATTCAAGACTGTTGTTAAGTTTCTCTTTGGCTGCAACTGAGAAAGAACACGATTACATGTTTTTAATATTGTTATAGTTATAATGAGTAACATAGAATTCTATGTTATGCAAAATATTTAAAAGTTTTATAATGGTTTATATATTTAGTAGGAGAGTAAAATTATATAATACATTAATAGTGTGTTTAAGTAAAATATAATAAAACGACTTATCTGTTGCGGGCTAGTCACTGTTCTCCCTTAAATCGCAATTTTAAGTGCAAATTTACCGTTATTTACTCATATCTGATAAAAATAATTTGTTTCATTTGAGTTTGCTTAAAATAATTGAACACTCCATGTCATTGACCACTTTCCCATTCAATTTGCTTGAAATCAATGAGCAATGCAAAACAACGGACTAAAGATTGGAGAAAATAATGAAAAAAAATATAATGTTGGGGAGGGGTGGGGGGGGGGGTTTACCATGATATTTTGGCTACGGACGGTTTACGCGCATTGTGTTTGAGATTTCAAAAAAAACAATGTCTTTCAAACTTTAGTGGAAGGACTAACCATGGCAGAGGTAAGACCTTTTTTAAACTTAGTAAAAATTGCGCCGAAATAATAATTTTGCACTTACCTGTTATGCTTAAGTACAGGTTCCTGATAATTATCCGTTTTACAAAATATTAAATTAATAAATTCACTTTCAAAATATTATTTAAAAAAATATTCCAATTCATTCCATTTACATTGAAATCAGAACTAAGAATAAAACTGGGTGCAGAACTGTAGTTAATTTAAATTGTTGAAAATGAATGATAAAGGTAAGATTACGATTCTGGCATCGTATGACAGAATTGTTACGCTCTGCGCACACACCGTATTGTCATAGCCACATTTTCATAGGGCAAATTTAAGACTAGTCGCGTGGTAAATTGAAAATTAAGCAAAACGAATTCTGAATAGGCGATTAATTTCACTGTTTTGAAATTGATAGGAGAGATAAATCTTTTGTTACTTATGTTTACAAAATAACCATTTTCACGCCCTGCGCACACAATATATTGATGTACATAAAGTTAGTTCCCTATTCCTTATTCCTTTTTCGAATAAGGAATAAGGAATCAGTTCCTTATTCCTTTTTCGAATAAGGAATAGGGAACTAGTTCCTGATTCCTTATTCAAATCTCAATAAGGAACAGCGCAGAATTAGTATTTATTTAAAATAAAATTTATACCTCATTCATATCATTGCATGAAGAATCTGCAAGGAATAGGGAACCAGTTCTTTATTCCTTATTTAACTCCGAATAAGGAACAGAAGAAAATATGTAAAGAAAGACACCAGTTGCAGTTATTTTTGATAAATCTGCATAAGAATTACAAGGATCAATCATTAAAATTATGAAATAAAGCATCTACATAATTTTTTTCAAAAAAATGTTAAAGTCGAATAAGGAATAGGGAACCAATGGGAAATAATGCAATATTATACTTAATAATATGTACAAGCGAGGTTTTACGCAGGCGTAAAACGGCTGTGGAGGAATGGTCAGCTGTGCACTGCATACTTTTAGAATGACCAAACAATTGCTACGTAGACGAATTTCTGTTTAGATCTGCGCAGTTGTTAAATAAAGAGGAAGCATAACGACACGAAAATTCCATTACGTAGTACTAATAGAACTCGTTTTATACTGCGACATGACGGGTACCCTTAAATCTATGTCACATTGTGCCAGGAATCCGACACCATGTATTTACATAAATATAGACAAAGCTGACACGTTTGTAATGTTTTCTCCTAATGCCTGGAACTTTATTAATCTTATACCAATTAAATGATATCTAAACTTTTAATAAAAATTGAAAAAAAATCAAATTTGAGCATAAATATAGTATACATGTATATGTCATTTAAAGCATAAAAATAAGAAACACACGTGTGACATCGCTATACTATATAAATGGCGGCTATTAATATTTTTGAAGCCGCACAGCACTATCCAACTCATCTCAAAAGAAAAAGAAACACAACTTAAAATATACGTATACATTCAAATTTCTTCAAAACAAACTTATTTCCTAGTTTCTAAAAGTAAACAAACAGATAGATTGAAAAATAATTCAGATGTTTTTTTTACAATCCAATGCAGCACAAATGCGTTTTGTTCCGTGTGAAACAGCTCCCTTTCAGATTTACCGTTGCTATTTACAAATGAAACGTGTTTGCACATGATTTGATTTTATCCTGGTTCCACGATATCAAATCTTGGTAAACTGCAGACAGTTGCACAGTCCATTATTTGTATAAGGAGACAAGAAAACATGTTAATAATGGTATGTAAAAAAAATGTTTTGCAACAAAGCGAGTAATCTTAAATTGGCCCTTAAGTGTAAAGCTGATGAATGTGAATGTTTTTATATATTTTTGTTTATATTGATGAATGGCAAAGTTAATCATGTCATCCATCACTAAAATGTACATCTTTTCAATAGTTTTAAAAGACTCGGTTTAACCTCTTAGAATCGAATGGCAACTCATATCAGATCACAACAAGTCGCTTTCCGCTCAAGAGTTGTTTAAAGAATTGTGTTAATTTCCTCTTGTTCATGGATCATCAAAACTTTATGTAAATATTAAATAAAACATACCTATGCCTTTTTTGAAACGCAAAACATTATACGCATCTTTTATTAAAAGACAATTTAAATTTGGAAATCTTGGCATTGCAGCGTTTGCAATAACTTCCATCCAAATTTCCGTCAACTAGTGACGGTTTTCCAAGAAAGTTCTTCAATGAAGAATGACTGGAAAATGTCTTGTATGCATGTGTTTTAAGAAGCAGGGCTTCAACATTACTTATATTATACATTTCACAAGCAGGGTATGATAGACTGTGAGGGTCGTGGTGATTCCTGTAATTTTTCTTTGGTGCTAGATGATTGCGCCAATCCCCTGACATTTGCATTCCACAACAAACCCGAAGAATATCCCAGTATCGCAAATATTCCACGACATGTGTCATATTTTGATTTGATAAACCAAAGAATTTTTGATATTCATATGCGATAAAATGACTCCTTTTTGAGACAAGATTAACATCTGCAATATATGGAAAAGCTATTCGCTTTTGTTTCAATCTTCTCACTTGGTCTTGTTTTGGCTTTGTCAATGGACCTTTGGAAGTCATAAAAACCCAAGAACCAGCGGGTATGAAATACAACGCTTTATCGGGTATGCTGTGTCGTTTTATAACTCTATACTTATTGTTTGTTTCAAACCTATTAAAATAACAACCAACAGAATTCTTCTCATCCTCATGTAGAAAAGCCATCATTAAACACAATAAATGAAATTGTAAAGTTGTCGCTGTACGAGGTGTGCCATACTGTACAATGAGATTTGGAACACGTTTAAAACAAAACTGAAAAATAAAAGGAATTTGTTCTAAAAACACAAATATAAGTAACATAATTGCTAGTTACCACAAATCCAAATTACATACGTCAAAAGTCCGTCATTTAGAAAAGTGATCTTGAAAATCGACTAACACAAAGTCCATGGTACAAAGGAATAGTGTTTTTCTTGTTTTGTGTGTATATAAAAAATCAGCCCCCTAGTACCGGCTTAAACAGAATTCAACATCTTAATATGATATAGCAAAATTTTGAATCTTGAAACATCCGGAGATATGTTCATAGGTAACTATAATGGAACCTTCAATGTGACACGTCCGTGCCATTCCATTAAAAAGGGGCGTATGGTCCCCAAGTAATAGAGAGCATGTGCCCTAAACGTGAAAACAATGGGCGGAACTAAACAAAATGGAATTTTGAAAGGGGATCAGAGATTATGAAGCCTGCATATCACAGATAAGACGTCAAAAGACAAAGTTAACAAGAAAAATATTACATACATCCGCATGTAATATAGGTACGACTGCATACTAACTTCTGTGAAGACTTTTTATGCTTGCTGCATGACATGTGTTATGTAAAATGAACAAACATGTAATCAGATATTTTATATCTTTAAACATTGTCATGGAATGTAATAAATCATGGATTTATTTGTAAACCCTGGAAATAGAAATATAAACAATAAAAAACCCGTTTTTGCTCGAGTATTTCTTTGTTTTCTGAACTCGTAAATCTGGTCACCAGTTTATAAAAAAGAACATAGCTAACACGGACACGATCTTTTTTCTTTCTTTTTTTTATCTTACAGTAACAGAGCATCATGAAAATCATAGTCACAGATTTGAGAAATTATCATTTATTTACAAAAAAAACATCATTATTTGTTATCGATTGACCCAATAAAACCCAAAAGATACCGAAAAAAGCATTTCCTATCCTATACGACGCGCCCAAGTTAGCTATACCATCAATACACATTAAGGTGTAAACTAGTTTCATGGAGAAACGTCTTGATATTATCACATTTCTTTTAACTTTAATGACCAACACTGATCATAAAAAGACACGTGGTATAGTGGCTGTGATCTATTTTGTACAAATGGTTCTAAGAATTTTAGAATAGGGAAAAAGAAAGTCAACTGCTTCACACGATGCTTATTCGATGAATGGTTATCACAATATGAACGATTTTACGAAATTTCACCCCGACGTGCGTCGGGCAGACCAAACTGACCATTAAGTGTGTAGTTTAAAGAATTATAATTGGGGTCTAATAACTTAGGAATATACTGCACATATTCCTAGTCATGTTGATGTTATTTTGAACACGGTAGATTGTACCTTTTGTGGTCTTATCTCATATGACTTCTAAGAGACATAAAGACCAGTAAGACCAACGTCCAGGATCAATTTTTATGGATAAATTTTATATCGCCCGACGATAGAGGCTACACATCCGATGCTCTCCGGAGTAGAAAGAGAAGTGTAATGCTTAAAAGCTAATATTTAAATAAGGTACCAAAACTAAACGCACATGAAACTTTGAGAATAGGATTTAAAATAATAATTTTGTGTATCAATTGCGGTATTGGTACGTGTAAAAGTTAGATATAAACATCTGTACTTAATATTCATATTAAATGTTAATATTTAAACACTAGTATATATTTTGAACTATATTTAGAAAAATCATACCTCGCACGTTCCATTTTTCTCTTCTTCAGTTGTATTGCCCTTTCTCGCTTCTTTTTCCAATATTCCAACACTTTGATTTTTCGTTTTTGAATTATAGTTGAGAAATGTCTCATGACGAGCACCAAGTTTTGTAAGAAAACAAGTTATAAATATTAAAACGAATGTTATAGTGAAAAGGAAGACGTATGATTTTGAAATTTCCATTAATTGCACTTTAACGTTAGCGTGTCAAAACTCTTTTCGATTTTACATTCATTCTATAAATTCATTATACACAGTTAACTTGTTTCTATAACATTTGCTCCTCTTTACATATTATTTGCTCCTCATTTCTCAATAATGATGTGTCGGTAAGCAAGCTGTTTCATTGACCAAATGTGCGCGTTATTTTATAAAATCTTTTCGATTTTTTTTTATTTGTTATCTGTTTTTACATCGCATCAGCACAGTAGAAATCACTTGACCACGGAGTCTCCTCATTGATGTGTGACTAATTCGTGACCTAGATACTAGTAACATGCTGGTGCAACGACGTACGTCATCCCAAAATTAAACTACTTTTAGTGGATAATGCTGCTGATGTGATAAATTTATCTGAAGCCTATACCTCGACATTGTATACACACCGTCCGGTCTCTCAAACATCGACCCTATGTCGTACAACGCATTACTCACCCCCAAATAAAAAGAAATCCGCGTAGGGATAACGATTTTATTTTTGTAGGGATGATGATTTTATTTTATTAAACACAATATTTCTTTTCAAGTGATTAAAATTGTTTATTGCTTCCAAGGGATCACTGTTTTCAAGATTTTAATATTGCACGGGCAATTGATAGTTCGACTGTGTTACTATTTATTCAAATATTCAAAACTTCTTTCAGTTTTAAACTAACAATGGACGAAATACTGTCACGCGTGTTGCACGAAATTGAATTTGTAAAACCACTAAAGGATTGTCAGAAGAAGTGTTTGATGCATGTTCTGAGTAAATATGATGTAATGGGTATTTTGCCAACAGGGTATGCAAAAAGTTTAATTTTTCAAGTGGCACCATTTGCGTTAAAAGTCAAGTATATCCGGTTTCTTCAGTTTGCTTAATTTTAACACCCTTGAACAGCATCATGATGGACCAGATTAATTCATTAAAGGAAAAGATCACAGGAGCTTGAAGTTATATCATTAAATCAAAGCACAGAAGGCGCTGAATTTGTTTGGGTCTCGGAATGTGAGAAAGATGAAGGTTGTGAGATTATAAACCAATTTGTTTGTATAGTGTCACCAATGTTGTTTCCAGTGTTATAACTATAGTAAATTGGCTGTAAGACTAATTGCGACACTGCACTGATATTCAATTCAAAATTTAAGTTTATTTGGCTTAAAAAAACGAGTTGCCTGAACAGGGATTTGATCTCTAGTCCTCTCGCTTACAACGCGAGCGTGTAAACCCATCGGCCACGGGGAGTTATAAGCTAACAGCCTGAAGAATACCACAGTATTCTAAATTATAAATTAGAGTTTGTAACCTTTAAAAATTTCGATATATTTTGTTCACGGTAAATCTGTTGTTTAACACTGAAGTAAATAATTATGGAGCTGAATATAATCAGGTATATCTATATACAAAGAATAACACATTATCAGAAATCTTCGACCAATCGGGAACTATTTTTTCGTTACCAAAATTAATGCGCCTGTCATTTGACAATCTTTACGGAGTGATCTCCCCTTAATTTTTCGTCGTTAATGTACATATGAAGGGAAGTAACTGTTTCGAGGAGTTTGGACTACTTTCGGTATTTGCAAATTAAAATAATGACGACAAAAAGAAATAAAAACCCATACATATATATATAAACTATATAGGTATGGATTTTTTGAAATCAGCCTTTTGAGAAATTAGTGATTGAATTTCAAGCTCCTGTGAATAGATACATGCTGGTTGGATTTTGATTGTTCATGCCGCCATGTTAAAAGTAGTTCGCTCCCATCATGCTTAGAGTGGTTTCACATAGGTCAGTAAGATCGGTGTACATAATGGCATATACCTTGATAGCGTCATAGAGTGAATCGGACTTCACGAACGACCAGCTACGAAGACAGTCATGGTTGAAGTGTTAAGATACAATATAATCACAATTATTTATTGAGAAAATCACGTGACCGGAGATCATGTGACTGTACTTTGGTATTATGACACAATATCAAGTATGTAAGTGTATCCTATTTAGTGCTTATTGTCTGCAAATGAATTAAGATAGTAACGATTTCACCAATAAACCTTTTGAATAATCTACATTTGTCACAAATTAGTCTGATTAAGAAATACACATTCAAAGAAAAAATAGGACGTACAATCTTTCATGAGAACACTTGTTGTTTTTCTTTTGTGAAAAAAATGACTATTACATTTTTTATGATGTTGTATAAAAAACAGCTTATTATAATACATTTATAATATGACCTGTTTCATTTGCACGAAGGAATGCTGATCACAGTTAACTAAGATTTACTGAGTTCCTTTTCGTAAGTTTGCAAGGTGTTAAACACAGCTTTATAAATGTTGAAATATATAATGTGTAACAAAATATTCATAATATTATTTTTTAAAACATTTCTTATCCAACCTGAGAGAGACACACAGAAAGAAAAACAGCCAGATATGTGTTTATATATCTTATCAAATCTGTGACAAATATAATCTTAAAGCAGACTTTCTGTACATATAAAAAAACATAAAATGTATGTTTCATAAGTTGCTTAGATAGAAAATAGAAACAAAAAAAAGCATACAAACTTTTTAGAGTTAATATTTTGCCATTGTGTGTGTTCAGTTAGGGTAAATAAATTGGCATAGAGCAATGGGGTCAGCTGCTTCCTCACAAATTCAGAAAAGAAAACAATAAAGCTTAATATAAAGAAAGCTTAACATCTTAAATGAACTTGTCTATCTTTCAATTCATCATTTTGGGTGTAAAATTTCAAAATATTTACTGACTAAATAGCTAGGAGGGCAGACAATGATCAGATGGCACAGATGTGTGGACCTAATCTTGGTCTGCACTGGTCGTACCAGAGTATCCTGCTGTCGCAAGAAGGCTATTTGTTAATTAACATGCTTAAAACACATAAACTTTGTCTTTGAAAACACATGAAAAAGAGTCAACTTACTTTGTCTTTGTAAACACATGAAAAAGAGTTAATTTACTTTGTCTTTGAAAACACATGAAAAAGAGATAACTTACTTTGTCTTTGTAAACACATGAAAAAGAGTTAATCTACTTTGTCTTTGAAAACACATGAAAAAGAGATAACTTAATTGTCATTGAAAGCACACGAAAAAGAGTGAACTTACTTTGTCTTTGAAAAACATGAAAAAGAGTTTTGTCTTTGAAAACATATGGAAAAAGACTTAACTTTGAAAACACATGAAAATCAGTCAACTGATATATGATTTTTACTGGTAATTCACCGCTGAACCTAAGAAACTTAACTTGTATTTTACCACTAAACCATCAGTAGTTATCGTAATATAACATTTTATGTTAAACAATACTGGTAAATTTTCAAATTAGGACAAAATAAAATCAAGGAGAAAAAAAGAGCATTTGTGAACAAAATGTGAACTACCATGATAATTCACTATTATATGTAACTATGAAATTCAAAAGTTTCTTTTTTTTTAATTTCAGGAGATTTGCAAAAGCAATTTCAATTCATTCGATTTCATTTTATAAAACAAAATATTCAATATTGCCTTTGTAATTTAGTTTGATCAGAAAAAATCATCATGTTTCTGTAATTTCAAATGATCCATAAAAACCTGTAAAAACTCTTTCAGTAATTATTGATGGTCTACTTTAAATGATCTTACTTTTTCTGTAATTTTCATCATATGTTTCAACAAATGTTTTTCTGTATCAATTTTTTTAAAGTCGATGAAAACAGAAAATATTGTTATTATGCCTATAAGTTGGAACATTTTATTGTGTCTTAGATTTTAACATGGTCCATGAAGATAGTAAATTTTGTTTCTGTTATTTCACATAATTTCTTAGAACATTTCGTTCTATTTCTATCCATTTACATGATTTATAGAATCGGAAGTAATTGTTTGTTTTTTTTTAAATTTTGAATTATCTGTATAAACATATAATTTAGTTTCTGTAACTTTTACATTTTGGTGAAAACAGTCAAAGTAGTTCTTGAAAATTTGCATGTTCTCTTAGCATACTGAATTCTGTTTCTAAAATTTTAACAAGGTCAATGAAAAATAGCAAATTTTCTGCAATTTTAACATGGTCCATGAAAAATAGTTTATTTTATGTAATTTTAAATGATCTGAGAATGAATGCTCAAATTTTGTAGTGATACCACTACAATACTTCTGCAGTGTTGAGTGAATTAGGAGGAAAGAAAAACAATTAAATTTCTGTAAATTATGTAATCTGTGAGGGAGCAGCTAGTATTTAAATACTTGATATTCATAGGGTGTGTCTATTTCAGTAGGCACACATTGTAATCGTAAAAAAGTAAAGTGACTAAATAACAATATGTTTTGTCAAATATCAAAAAAATAAAATAAAAAAAAATACCTGAGAAAAAAAATACCTGAGAAAAAAACTAGTTGTTTGGCTGATTATAAATAAAAATGAAAAAAAAACTACTTGAAATAACAAACATCTTCGAGACATGATTAGATATTCGTACCATCATTTGTCAATTGTTGTTTACTCTTATCCGATTCAGCGACTATCCGAATTCACTGACAGTTTCCATTAATTTTCATTACTTAATCACGTGTCATTGAATAACATCTAAAATTACAAACATAACCTCTGTACATAGTACATCTAAACTTACAAAGATAACCTCTGAACATAGCACATCTAGACTTACAAAGGTAACATCTACTAGACTTACAAAGAACTTCTGTACATTGTATCAGTGCTAGACCTAAAAAGATATCACATCAGTACAAAGTACATCTACATCTACCCAACTTTCAAAGGTCACTTCTGTATCAAGCTCAGTAACTAGACTAACAAAGATAAACTCTGCACAAAGTCCATCTACTAGACTTACTGAAATACCCATGTAGAAGACGTAACAATATACATGTAATCGCTTTCATATGCAAATTTGCTATTTTTTCATACAACAAGTTACCAGGAAAAGACAAGCAAATAAATCATAGCATACAATTAACTTACATTTAGATTATACTTT